CGATGAGACTTTCTCACTCGTAGCGATGCTAAGAGTCTGTTGGAATTATATTAGCGATTACTGCATTATTTATAAAATCTTGCAGATAGGATGTCAAAACATTATTTCCTCGACGATTTTCTTGAGGAAAGATTGTATGTGATACAACCGGAAGGTTTTGTCAATCCTGAAAGATGCTAATAAGTATGCAAAGCTCCAGTAATCCTTCTAAGGACTGGAGTAAGCATCTCGGAGTTGGAATGTATGCTTTGATAAGATGATCAAAGTTTTGGGTGTATACAAAGTTTATGAGAAACTTGTATTTCCAAAGAAGTGAGTGGGAGCACTATAGAATTTCTGATAAATATATGTTATTGACATATTGTTGATCAGGAATGATGTAGAATTTCTAGAAAGCATGTAGGGTTATTTGGAAAGTGTTTTTCAATGGAAAGCCTAGACTAAGCTACTTGAACATTGAGCATCAAGATCTATAAGGATAGATCAAAACGCTTAATGGTACTTTCAAATGAGCACATACCTTGACATGATCTTGAAGGTGTTCAAGATGGATCAGTCAAAGAAGGAGTTCTTGCCTGAGTGGTAAGGTATGAAGTTAAGACTTAAAGCTCGACCACGGCAGAATGGAGAGAAAGGATGAAGGTCGTCCCCTATGCTTAAGACATAGGCTCTACAGTATGCTATGTTGTGTACCGCACCTGAAGTGTGCCTTGCCATGAGTCAGTCAAGGGGTACAAGAGTGATCCAAGAATGGATCACAGGACAGCGGTCAAAGTTATCCTTGGTAACTAGTGGACTAAGGAATTTTCTCGATTATGGAGGTGGTAAAAGAGTTCGTCGTAAAGAGTTACGTCGATGCAAGCTTAACACCTATCCGGATAGCTCTGAGTAGAGATACCAGATACATATAATGGAACAACAATTTAGAATAGCTCCAAGTAGAACAGTTATTTGGATTAGCTTCAAATAGGATGTGGTAGCTACATCTAGGAGATGACATAGAGATTTGTAAAGCACACACGGATCTGAAAGGTTCAGACCCGTTGACTATAACATCTCTCACAAGCATAACATGATCAAACCCAGAACTCATCGAGTGTTAATCACATGGTAATGTGAACTAGATTTTTGACTCTAGTAAACTCTTTGGGTGTTAGTCACATGGGTATGTGACCTTGAGTGTTAATCACATATCGATTTAAACTAGATTATTGACTCTAGTGCAAGTGGGAGACTGTTGGAAATATGCCCTAGAGGCAATAATAAAAGTATTATTATATTTCCTTGTTCATGATAATTGTCTTTTATTCATGCTATAACTGTATTATCCGGAAATCGTAATACACGTGTGAATACATAGACCACAATATGTCCCTAGTGAGCCTCTAGTTGACTAGCTCGTTGATCAATAGATGGTTACGGTTTCCTGACCATGGACATTGGATGTCATTGATAACGGGATCACATCATTAGGAGAATGATGTGATGGACAAGACCCAATCCTAAGCCTAGCACAAGATCATGTAGTTCGTATGCTGAAGCTTTTCTAATGTCAATTATCTTTTCCTTAGACCATGAGATTGTGCAACTCCCGGATACCGTAGGAATGCTTTGGGTGTACCAAACGTCACAACGTAACTGGGTGGCTATAAAGGTGCATTACAGGTATCTCCGAAAGTGTCTGTTGGGTTGGCACGAATCGAGACTGGGATTTGTCACTCCGTGTAAACGGAGAGGTATCTCTGGGCCCACTCGGTAGGACATCATCATAATGTGCACAATGTGACCAAGGGGTTGATCACGGGATGATGTGTTACGGAACGAGTAAAGAGACTTGCCGGTAACGAGATTGAACAAGGTATCGGGATACCGACGATCGAATCTCGGGCAAGTATCGTACCGATAGACAAAGGGAATTGTATGCGGGATTGATTAAGTCCTTGACATCGTGGTTCATCCGATGAGATCATCGTGGAACATGTGGGAGCCAACATGGGTATCCAGATCCCGCTGTTGGTTATTGACCGGAGAACGTCTCGGTCATGTCTGCATGTCTCCCGAATCCGTAGGGTCTACACACTTAAGGTTCGATGACGCTAGGGTTATAAAGGAAGCTTGTATGTGGTTACCGAATGTTGTTCGGAGTCCCGGATGAGATCCCGGACGTCACGAGGAGTTCCGGAATGGTCCGGAGGTAAAGATTTATATATAGGAAGTCCTGTTTCGGCCATCGGGACAAGTTTCGGGGTCATCGGTATTGTACCAGGACCACCGGAAGGGTCCCGGGGGCCCACCGGGTGGGGCCACCTGCCCCGGGGGGGGGCACATGGGCTGTAGGGGGTGCGCCTTGGCCTACATGGGCCAAGGGCACCAGCCCCAAGAGGCCCATGCGCCTAAGGAACCCTAGAGGGAAGAGTCCTCAAGGGGGAAGGCACCTTCGAGGTGCCTTGGGGAGGATGGACTCCTCCCCCCCTCTTGGCCGCAACCCTTCCTTGGAGGAAGGGGCAAGGCTGCGCCTCCCCCCTCTCCCTTACCCATATATATAGTGGAGGGGAGGGAGGGCATCCATACCAGAGTCCCTGGCGCCTCCCTCCCTCCCGTGACACCTCCTCCTCTCCCGTAGGTGCTTGGCGAAGCCCTGCAGGATTGCCACGCTCCTCCATCACCACCACGTCGTTGTGCTGCTGCTGGATAGAGTCTTCCTCAACCTCTCCCTCTCTCCTTGCTGGATCAAGGCGTGGGAGATGTCACCGGGCTGTATGTGTGTTGAACGCGGAGGTGCCGTCTGTTCGGCACTAGGATCATCGGTGATCTGAATCACGACGAGTACGACTCCATCAACCCCGTTCACTTGAACGCTTCCGCTTAGCGATCTACAAGGGTATGTAGATGCACTCTCCTTCCCCTCGTTCCTGGTTTCTCTATAGATAGATCTTGGTGACACGTAGGAAAATTTTGAATTTCTGCTACGTTCCCCAACATTTTTGAGATATCTAATAGCATTTTTGAGCAAGTATCTCATGAAACAATGGCATTTTTGAGCAGTTGTAACTTCTAATGGCAAAATTGAATAGTGAGACACAACTAATGGCATAAATGATAAAAGCCCTTCTTGCAATGATTTTGTTGAGGTTGCCTTTGTTGTGTACTCTTTTTAATAATTAATAAGAATGGATGTGTGCATCATCATGATGTAGAGGCCGAGATTTCAACATTCTTTTTGAAAGAAAAAATGCGTTGGAACCGTCGAGGCATCGGCACGATCTCAACGGTGAAAGAATTGTCCACTGTTGTGCAACATTATGCCCCTAGTCCCCTACCGCACTATGTGTAGTTGAGACACAGATACATGAATCTAAATAATAGGGAGTAGTACGTTCGTGCTTGAAAAAGCAAAGTTGTACCACATCTATTACACAAATCTAAACATCTAATGACTATGATTCCATGAAAGAATATTTCATATGTGTGCCTTATATTGTACTTCCTCTGTTTCGAATTACCTATTTTAGTGCTACATACCTCCGTATCTAGACAACTCTAAGACAAATAATTCGGAACGGAGGGAGTACTAGCTTTGAGAGCACTTGACACTTTTTAGCCTAATCATGGTTGGTGAGGCAGTTGCGATTTCAAGATTAAAAACCGAACATACATACACGAATATAAAAAGCAGGGGCGATATGCAAAAGCACGCACGCATGCACGCCAAAGTGTTCGGTGTATCTGTCCTCTGTAGAGGACCGATCCTGATGAAAAGCGTGCAGTGCCGGCATTCCCGAACGGGTGGACATAGAACAAACTTCTCCGGCTCTCAGCACGTGACAGGCACAGAGGATATGTAATCGGCGACTTGATCCAAGATATGCACGCACAAATATCTCTTGCTTTCTCGCACGCCATTGAATTGAATCTCCAAGAAAAGAAAGAAAAAGAAAACGGCGATGAGGGTAGGGTTCTAGGGTTCTAGGCAGGCCGGCATAGCTGACCGGCAGCTGCGGCAGAGGGTGAGCGACATCGATCGGCTTGTATAGTTGTAGTATTGAGCTACTAGCTACTAGCCAGTTGCGTAACCATTGGATGCCAAACAAAAAGCTAGATTCCTCCTACTTTCAGGCGTGCTGTGCTGAACGACCATTCAAGCTCAAGACCCAGCAAGGAAGATCAGTTGATGTTGATCGCCATGAATCGATCAGTGGGGCGGAAAGTCTCCAGCATTCTCATATGGAGCAAGTGCGTGGGAACTCGGAGCATTTTTCACTAGAATTTCAGGCCGGGGACCTCGAGGAGCCCAAGTCATTTTCCAGCTAGCCACACACGATCGAATCGTGGCGGAGTATAACATTCCCGGCGGAGGCCACACCGTGATCCGGTTGCCAACATTCCTGGCCGTTGCTTTTCCAAAAGTTCTCTCGCCGGAAGTAAGCGCCTCCTGTAGCTATAGCAGCTGCTAGTTGCCATCAGTTTCGAATCGGGGAAACGGGGGGGTGCACTTCAGCACTTGCGTTAGTTGCGTACGTGCCCACCCCTTTCGAGCTGGGTGAATCCCAGCCGCCCATCCGATCCAGCAGGACCCCGGCGCACCCAGCTCGCGCATGCCGGGAATCCCCGCGCTCGTGGCCTCTGCATGGCGCTGGCGGGCGCGCACGGGCGCGCCACGCCTCGCGTCAAACAAGGCAGGACATAAATTCGTACTATTGCAAGGCAGGACGTGAGATCTCGTGAAATTTGAAGGACGGGGATGAATTTTGATGAGAGCGAATCGTGATTTGGAAGGAAGCTGCGCCGTCTGCCCTAAATTTGGACCAAATAGCAAAACAAAGATATCCGGAGGAAGGAGGGGCGCCTTTCGGCAAAAATCGGGTCATAAATGCTGTTCATCGATCCGGGCACTGCTCGCTCGCGATCAGCCGGACACGTCTCGCCTTGCACGCGACGCCTGGCGCCGGCACCACGTCCCGATCGATCAGCCTACATAAAGCGGCGAGCTGACATACACCATGCCTCATCGGAGCCTGCTCGCCCGCGCACACTCGGAAGACGACGCAGACGCCGCCATGGGGGACGCCGTCGCTGGCGCCGTCGACTACCGCGGCCGGCCCGCCTCCCGCGCCGCCACCGGCGGCTGGAAGTCCTCGGTGTTCGTCATGGGTACGTGCGCGCGCGCGCCGATCTCCTGTACTAGCACGAAACTATTTGGTGCTCGAGTGCTGACCGGTAGGTTTGTTTTTTGTTTCGTGCTGCTGTTTTGTTGGCATGCAGCAATGGAGATCGCCGAGCGGTTCGCGTACAAGGGCGTGGCGGCGAACCTCATCACGTACCTCACGGGGCCGCTGGGCCAGCCCATGGCGCGCGCGGCGGCGTCCATCGACGCGTGGAAGGGCGTCTCCCAGATGCTGCCGCTGCCGGTGGCCTGCGTCGCCGACGCCTGGCTCGGCCGCTACCGGGCCATCGTCCTCGCCTCCATCCTCTTCGTCGTGGTCAGTCAAATTTCCAATGATCCAATCCAACCACAAGAGTCCATTGAGAAGCACTCCAGTTTAGATGGGACTGATCTCCAACTCTGTCTGCTTGTTGCGTTCGATTCAATCCAGAGCATGGGCACGCTGTCGCTGTCGTCGGCGTTCCACATCTTCCGCTCCGGCGGCCACGTGGCCGTCTTCTACGTCGCGCTCTACCTGGTGGCGCTGGGCGAGGGCGCGCACAAGCCCTGCGCGCAGGCGTTCGCGGCCGACCAGTTCGACGAGAAGGACCCCAAGGAGAACGTGGCAAGGAGCTCCTTCTTCAACTGGTGGTACTTCGGCATGTGCGCCGGCACCGCCGTCACCACCATGGTCTCCAGCTACGTCCAGGACAACGTCGGCTGGGGCCTCGGCTTCGGTATCCCCTGCATCGTCATCCTCGTCTCCCTCGCCGTCTTCCTCATTGGCACCCCCTCCTACCGCTACTACACCACCAAGGAGCCCAGCCCCGTCGCCCGCGTCGGCAAGGCGCTCCTGGTGCTGATCAAGAGCTGGAGATCGAAGCACCGCACCAAGTATGTACGCGTCCATGGTTAACGAACTTTGCTCATGTATATATCGTGCATCCTCTGACGTCACGTGATGACCGTTGGTGCAGTCCGGCGAGCGGCAAGGTGGAGGCCCATAAGAACTCCGACGAGGACCTCGTGGAGGAGGTGAGTAGCGTCTTCCGCCTGCTGCCCATCTGGGCCTCCTGCATAATCTACGCCATCATCTTCTCCCAGACCTCCACCTTCTTCACCAAGCAGGCGGCCACGCTGGACCGCCGGATCGGCCCCAACTTCAAGGTGCCGCCGGCGGCGCTGCAGACCTTCATCAGCGTCAGCATCGTGGCCTTCATCCCGGTCTACGACCGTCTCTTCGTGCCGCTCGCGCGCCGCTACACGGGGCGGCCCACGGGCATCACCATGCTGCAGAGGGTCGGCGCCGGCCTCTCCCTCTCCCTCGTCGCCGTCGTGCTCTCGGCGCTCGTGGAGATGAAGCGGCTCGCCGTCGCCAGGGACGCCGGCCTGCTGGACGCCCCCAAGGCTTCTCACCTTCCCATGACGCTCTGGTGGATGGTGCCGCAGTACGTCCTCATCGGCGTCTCCGACGTGTTCGCCATGATCGGCCTCCAGGAGTTCTTCTACGACCAGGTCCCCGACGCCGTGCGCAGCCTCGGCCTCGCGCTCTTCCTCAGCATCTTCGGCGTCGGCCACCTCCTCAGCAGCTTCCTCATCTCCGTCATCGACAGGGCCACGGCCAGGCGCGGCGCCAGCTGGTTCTCCAACAACCTCAACCGCGCGCACCTCGACTACTTCTACTGGCTGCTCGCCGGGCTCTGCGTCGTCGAGCTCGTCGCCTTCTTCTTCTTCTCGCGAGCCTATGTCTACAAGAAGAAGAGCGACGATGGCGATTACAGGGGAGGTGATGCTGATGCTACATTGGTGTAACTTATTAATTCGGGTTAGTACTACGCCGGAGGTGTAGCAAGTGCGAAATTTTCAAAACAAGTACAGTACAAAATTTTCAGATTGTTTGTTATAGAGTGCGCTCGCGGTAGATTGTCATAAATTTTGGGGTTTAAAAACACACTCAAAACGGATCTTTTCTTAACTGAACCTGAATGAATCATTCGACTTTTCTTTGGCCTGACAGCATTATGCACCCAGAGAACTCTGAACCTCATAAAAACAAACTCGGAAGGGATCTTTCCTTAACTGAATCCTGAATGAATCGTTCGATTTTTCTGTAGCCTGACAATATGGCGCATCCAAGAGAACACCGAATCTCGTAAAAATAAACTCTGAAGGGCTCTTTTTGAACCTGAATGAATAATTCGACTTTTTTTAGAACGTCATTGGGCTTGGGCTTCCCATATGGATATGGGCATACAAAAGCACAAGTTTGGTTCGTCCTTTGTTTAACCGAACATGAATGAATCATTCGTCCTTTGTTTCGTCTGACAATAATATGCATCCAAGTCTCATAAAAACAAATCGCAAGGGATCTTTTCTTAACTGAACCTGGATGGATCATTCGACATTTGTTAGCCTGATAATACTGTGCATCCAAGAGAACACTGCATTTCATAAAAAAAAAAACTCTGAAGGGATCTTTTCGAACCTGAATGAATCATTCGACATTTTTCTAGAACATCATTGGACTTCCCATGTGGGAATACAGAACTAGCAATCCGTCCAAAAATAAGGGGTATATATTTGGTCCAAAGTCAAACGGTATAAAATTTGAGTAAGTTTGTAGGAAAAATTAGTAAGAGCAAGCACAATGGCAGGCCCGCTTACATGGCAATAGCTGAGGACTTGTCTTTTGCGTGACAATATTATGCACCCAAGAAAGCTCTGAATCTCATAAAAAAAAAACCCGGAACGGATCTTTTCTTAACTGAACCCGAATGAACCATTTAATTTTTTTAGCCTGTCAATATGGTGCATTCAAGAGAACACTGAATCTTGTAAAATAACTCAGAAGGAATCTTTTCAAACCTGAATGAATCATTCGACTTCCTTTAGACCATCATTGGACTTCCCATATGTATATGGGCATACAAAAATGCTACTCCCTCCGTGCTGGAAAAAGGTGTATAAATTTTTTTGTTTGAAGTCAAACGGTGTAAGTCCGAGCAATAGGTGTACATTGGCCGGTCGGAAGCTTCGGCTTGGGCCGGGCCGCTATGCCAATAAGAAATAAGATTTCAACAAAATAAGACAATGTCTTGACGTTTACATTTTTCAAACGTTTTAAATGCCTTTACCATTTTTATGCATGATTAAAATTTTAAAATATATGTTTTGATGTCTATTTTTTATACATATTGTACATTTTTATGCACACAAAATATATTTTATATATGTTTAAATTTTTACAAAAGCATGATTTTTTCCAAACACATGTTTTTGAACAATTTTTCAAATATGTGTTAAATTTCTTCAAGTACATGATAAAACATTTTTTAAACCATGGAAAGATTTGTTTTACATTGTATAAACAATTTTTTTGAAACTTGTGAACATCTTTCTTATTGCTAACATCATTTTTCTAAACTACACTAACAATGTTTTATACTACATTATTATTTTAAATCATGTTTTTGTAAAAAAGATTGATGTTTTGGACTATATGCACTTTAGAATACTGTTTGAAAATATGAAAAAAGAAAAATATGAAAAAGTGAGCAAATGAAAAAAGAAGAAGAAAATAAACTTACCTGGGCCGCCCCATAACAATGGGAAGACAGTTTTGCTTGAGGCGGGACCTCCTTCTGGGTCGCAGTAAGCGACATATAGCCAATCCCAGAAGAAAAAACGGCTCGTGGTGTTCCCGGGCATGGACAAAACCCTGGAGCTCACCTCATCCACTAAAAAGCTGGTTGGATGACCGTCACGTTCATATGCTAGGGTTTTCTCATACCGCCGTCGTCATCATCTTCTGAGAAATTTAGGTCCCCTCGCAAAAAAAAAGACATATAGCCGATCCCAGAAGAAAAAACGGCTCGTGGTGTTCCCGGGCATGGACAAAACCCTAGAGCTCACCCCGTCCACTAAAAAGTTGGTTGGATGACCGTCACGTTCATATGCTAGGATTTTCTCGTGCCGCCGTCGTCGTCATCTTCTGAGAAATTTAGGTCCCCTCGCCTCCGACCGTCAGTTCATCTGCTAGGGTTTTCTCATGCCGTTGTCGTCGCCATCATCTGAGAAATTTAGGTCTCCTCGCTTACGGTTGTCATCTTGACGCTGAGAGGTGGGGGGGGGGACCTCAGATCTTCAGGATCTTTATGTTCTTTGCCAACGTCTAGTGATCATTATAGTTTTGCGAGAGTAAATTTGCTATCATCCTTTTGGCAGTGTCATGAGGTTAAAGAGTTTTATGTCCTCGCATATCTGATTAGCCGGATTTGATGAGTTTATATTGTTGTGTCAAACTTTTTTTGTTGGTCTGGTTCTTCGTGGAGATGAAATCTTGCATCGACACCATGGTGAAGATGTAGTGATTCGACGGTCTGCACTTGTAGGGGGTCATCCCCCGTCCAAGTACGTTCATCGATAAAGGCTTCCCGTCTTTTTGGATGGACGACTCATGGCGCTTTTAAAAACCATTATTAGTAATGTTCGTGCGAGTGAAAAAGTGACATCATCGTTGCTCCAATCCAATTACAGCTTTGTTACTGAAGTCTTTGGAGTATTTCTTCGAGAAGAGATTGATACCACGAAGGTGTTTTCAAGAGATTTTATTGTAATTCTTAGTCATAAGAGTTACTTTGTATTTTTTTGGATGTTAGGTCCAAATTAATGTATTTGTAATTGTTATGAGTATGAATAAAGTTACAGATGTTTCTAAAAAAAAACCTCGTCCATTAGAAAATTGTCTCGGACAAAAGAACCTCGTCCATTATTCTGCGAAATTAAAAATAAAGGATAGATTCTTTGGTTTTAGGAAAGTAAAAGTCTAACTGGTAGTACTGGTGAGTACTGAAGGCCTACTAGTGAGTACACTTATATCCCAAAAGAAAGAAAAACTAATAATGCTAATACATGATGCAAGCAGCAGCTCTGTTAACGTTTCCATTGGCCGGCAGGAGTGTGTTTAAGGCCTGCCGAACGTAGCACTTCGCAAAATTCCCTCTCAGACGGGGAAGGAATGGACTCCGGCGCGCTCCTGCCTCCGGGTGAGCCGTCAACCAACGGCAAATCCGGCGGCCGCGGCGGATGGCCAGCCGCACTCTTCCTGATAGGTACTCCTCCGTCTGAATTATATTCAACTCTCAAGCAGTCAAACTCCAACAATGACCACAGCTAGCTGTTCCCCCGCGCCATGGCCCTGCAGTGGTGGAGTTCGTGGAGCGCGTCGGCTTCTACGGCGTGCAGGGCAACCTGATCACGTACCTCACCGGCCCGCTGGGTCTGTCCACCGCGTCGGCCGCGGCCGGCGTGAACGCCTGGGCCGGCACCGCGTCGATGCTGCCGCTGCTCGGCGCGCTCGCCGCCGACTCCTGGATCGGCCGGTACCGGGCCATCGTGGCCGCCGGCGTCCTCTACCTCGTGGTTGGTTGGTGAACCCGCTCTCAGTTTTTTGACGTTTTGTCTGTTTTTTAGCTCCCTCCACGATCGTCCATTTGCCGTCTGTTTCATTTCTGAAATATTATAGGTTGAAACGGTAGGTTTACCATCGTTTTCTTAATTTTCAGTGCGTGTGACATCACTGCTACGTCGCTTTTATGCGCGACTGTGATGTTAATCATTTGTGTTGTCGAATTGGATCTTTAATTCTTTACACAAGGAATTTAGGATCATGGTGGCATCTTTATATGACGAGATTGGATCTGTTCCTAACATTTTAGGCCTAAAATGACAAAAGCATACGCTTGTCCTGAAATCGACATTGTCTGAACCTAGTTATTCAGTTCAGCACAGTTCAGTGAATAATTGTACATACCAGCAGCTCAAAACAGTATAAACTACGTTATGGACAGAGCTTTGGGATGCTGACGGTCTCATCCATGGTGCCACCACGTCAACCTCAACCAGCGGCATCCCCTCCCCGCGCGGCGTTCTTCTACGCCACGATCTACGTGGTGGCGCTGGCGCAGGGCTTCCACAAGCCCAACGCGCAGGCCCTAGGCGCGGACCAGTTCCCCCGGAGCTCCCCGGACAGCATCGCGTCCCGGAGCTCTTTCTTCAACTGGCTCCACTTCTCCATGTCGTGGGGCTTCATCGTCGCCGTCGTCGCGCTGAGCTACGTGCAGGACAACGTCGGCTGGGCCGCCGGGTTCGGCGTGTGCTGGGCCATGATGCTCGTGTCCCTGTCCATGTTCTTGCTCGGCACGGGCACGTACCGTGTCACGGAGCAGCCGCGCGACCGCCGTGCTCTCGCGCGGCTCACGAAAACGTTGGCTGCCACGGCGCGTACATGGACGGACATGGTCTTTCGCCGCAGCGACGGCGCCATGGACGGTGAATGGTAAGTTCGATGTCCATTTATTATATGATGCCACGCTGCAGGTGCCATTACCGTAATTAACCTACGTTTATGCCGGTGCAGTTTACTGAGGCCAAAAGAGCAGGAAGGCAAGGGGGTCATGGTGAAGCTGCTTCCGATATGGATGACCAGCGTCGTGTACGCAATGGTGGTCGTGCAGGTGTCCACTCTGTTCACCAAGCAGGGCAGCACCATGGACCGGCGCATCGGCGCGGCCACAGGCCTAGTCGTGCCCCCGGCGGCGCTGCAGAGCTTCGTCGGCCTCGCCATCATCGCCTCCGTCCCCATCTACGACCGCGCCTTCGTGCCCCTCGCTCGGCGCGTCACCAAGCACCCCTCCGGGATCACCATGCTCCAGCGCATCGGCGCCGGCATGGCCATCGCGTCCGTCGCCATGGCCGTGGCAGCGCTCGTGGAAGCCGCGCGCCTCCGCGCGGCGAGGGACGCCGGCCTGGTC